AAAAATGATTCACAGTAAAAAGTACCCCTTTCTGCGACAAAAGATTCAAATGCGCCCATTTGCTGTTCATAGAATTAAAATATTGGACTTTTTGGGGTTGGGGTGGTTCAAAAGTATGCCGAACTCGCCTGCAGCTCGCTCGGCGATGGTATACAAGCGATTATGAATTCACAGTCACGCTTTCACTTAAGATAAAAATGATTTACAGTAAAAAGTACCTCTTTCTTCGACAAAAGATTCAAATGCGCCCATTTGCTGTTCATAGAATGAAAATATTGGACTTTTTGGGGTTGGGGTGGGTCAAAATTATGCCGAATTCGCCTGCAGCTCGCTCGGCGATGGTATACAAGCGATTATGAATTCACAGTCACGCTTTCACTTAAGATAAAAATGATTCACAGTAAAAAGTACCTCTTTCTGCGACAAAAGATTCAAATGCGCCCATTTGCTGTTCATAGAATTAAAATATTGGACTTTTTGGGGTTGGGGTGGTTCAAAAGTATGCCGAACTCGCCTGCAGCTCGCTCGGCGATGGTATACAAGCGATTATGAATTCACAGTCACGCTTTCACTTAAGATAAAAATGATTTACAGTAAAAAGTACCTCTTTCTTCGACAAAAGATTCTCAAATGCGCCCATTTGCTGTTCATAGAATGAAAATATTGGACTTTTTGGGGTTGGGGTGGGTCAAAATTATGCCGAACTCGCCTGCAGCTCGCTCGGCGATGGTATACAAGCGATTTTGAATTCACAGACACGCTTTCACTTAAGATAAAAATGATTCACAGTAAAAAGTACCCCTTTCTGCGACAAAAGATTCAAATGCGCCCATTTGCTGTTCAGAGAATTAAAATATTGGGCTTTTTGGGGTTGGTGTGGGTCAAAATTATGCCGCAATGGGTATACAAGCAATTTTGACATCATAATCAAGCTTTTCCTTTAGATAGAATTGCTTCACAGTAAAAGTTCCTCATTCTGCGACAAGATAACCAAATGCGTCCATTTGATGTGCACAGAATTAAAGGTTTGCGCTTTTTGAGGTTAGTGTGAGTCCTTGGTATACAAATTGTTTTGATTCCTAATAAAAAGGTGTTCTATCCTTCGAACAAATTGTCAAATGCAAATGTAAAGTTTGCACTTTTTGAGGTTAGTGTGAGCCAATAGTATGCCGACCTCACCTTCGGCCCGCTCAGCAATGGTATATAAATTATTTTCACTTTACTATCGCGTTTTTCCTTAAGAGCCCCGCAGTAGCCTCATACAGTACCAGTACCATTCTTTCGCTCAGCAAATGGGCGCATATGATGATATTGTCAAGTAATAAAACCATATGGTACTACTAACCGCTTTTATCTTGGGATTGTGGAGTCAAAATCATTTGTATACCCATAATTTTGGCCCACACCAACCTCAAAATGCACAAACTTTTAAATCTCGACCCAGCAAATGGGCGCATGTGATTATTTTGTCGCAGAATTAAGCCCTTTTTACTGTGAATCATTTTTACCATAAGGAAAAGCGCGTTATGAAGACAAAATCGCTTTTATTTAATTCTCTGCACAGTAAATGGGCGCATGTGATTATATGGAGCCACTTTTTACTGTGAATCATTGTTATCTTAAGTGAAAGGGTGACTATGAATTCAAAATCGCTTGTATATCATCGCCGAGCGAGTCAAAGGCGAGTTCGGTGTAAGTGTAGCTCACACTAACCTCAAAAAGCGCTAACTTTACAATTTCCGCACAGCAAATGGGCGCATTTGACAATTTCTTCAAAGAACAGAGACACCTTTTTATTAGGAATCAAAACTTGTACACCAAGGGCTCACACTAACCTCAAACAGCGCAAACCTTTAATTCTATGCACAGCAAATGGGCGCATGTGATTATTTTGTCACCGAATTAAGCACTTTTAATGTGAATCTCTAAAGAAAAGGCGTGATTTTGATGTCAAAATCGCTTGCCGAGCGAGCCGCAGGCGAGTTCGGCATAATTTTGACCCAAACCAACTCCAAAACGCCTAATATTTTAATTCTCAGAATAGCAAATGGGCGCATTTGAATATTTAGTCGCAGAATGAGGTACTTTTTAATGTGGATCATTTATATCTAAAGGGAAAACGTGATTCGGAAATCAAAATCGCTTCAATACACATTTCCGAGCGAGCCAAAGGCGCACACTAACCTCAAAATTCGCACACCTTTAATTATGTGCAGAGCAAATGGGCGCATGTGATAATTTTGTCGAAAAATAGAGCCTCGTTTTTGGTGGGAATCATTTTTATGTTAAGCAAAAGCGTTGTAATTTGACGAAAGTCTGAGCCAGTGTCGAGCGAGGCGAAGGCGAGTTCGGCATAATTTTGGCCCACGCCATTCCTAAAAAGCGGAAACTTTAATTATCTGCATAATGGGCGCATGGGCTTATTTTGTCCCAGAATGGAGACATTTTCTACTGTAGATCATTTTTATCTAAAGGAAAAACGTGATTGTGATGGCAAAATCGCTTGTATATCCGTTACCGAGCGAGCCGAAGGCGAGTTCGGCATAATTTTAACCTACATTAACCTCAAAAAACGCAAACTTTAAATTTTCCGGGCAACAAATGGGCGTATACGATTATTTTGTCGAACAATAGAGACATCTTTTTATTGTTACATTTTTATCTTCAGGAAAATTAAAGCGTGTTTGTGATGTCAGAATCACTTGTACGCCAATGTCGAGCGAGCCGAGGGGCGAGTTCGGCCGACACCAACCCAAAAAAAAAGCAGAAACTTTTCATTCTCCGCCGAGCAAATGGGCGCACGTGATTATTGTATCGCAGAATGGAGCCACTTTTTTTTTACTGTGAATCATTTTTATCTTAAGGAAAAGCGTGACAGTGTCAAAATCACATTGTATACCGATGCCGAGCGAGCCGAAGGCTAGTTAGGGGTAATTTTGGTCTAAACGAATCTCAAAAAGCGCAAACTTTAAATTTTTCGCACAGCAAATGGGCGCATGGGATTTTTTGTCACAGAGTTACGCACTTTTTTACTGTGAATTTAAAGAAAAAGCTTGATTCCGATGTCAAAATGGCTTATATACCCTTTGCCGAGCGAGACGCAGGCGAGTTCGGAATAATTTGGGCTCACACCAACCTCAAAAAGCACAAACTTTTAATTATCCCCCAGTAAATGGGCGCATGAGATTATTTTGTCGCAGAATGAGGCACTTTTTTACTGTGAATCATTTTTATGTTACGTGAAAGTGACAGGTGAATTCAAAATCGGTTGTAGTGGCTTTCACTAACCTCAAAAAGCGCAAACTTTACATTTTCCGTACAGCAAATGGGCGCATTTGACAATTTGTTCGATAATACAGCCACCTTTTTATTAGAAATCAAAACCACTTGTACATCAAGGGCCCACGCTACCCTCAAAAAGTGCAAACCTTTAATTCTGCACACAGCAAATGGGCGCATGCGATTTTCTGTCACAGAATTAGGCACTTTTTTACTCTGAATTTAAAGAAAAAGCTTGATTCCGATGTCAAAATGGCTTATATACCCTTTGCCGAGCGAGACGCAGGCGAGTTCGGAATAATTTGGGCTCACACCAACCTCAAAAAGCACAAACTTTTAATTATCCCCCAGTAAATGGGCGCATGAGATTATTTTGTCGCAGAATGAGGCACTTTTTTACTGTGAATCATTTTTATGTTATGTGAAAGTGACAGGTAAATTCAAAATTGCTTGTAGTGGCTTTCACTAACCTCAAAAAGCGCAAACTTTACATTTTCCGCCCAGCAAATAGGCGCATTTAACAATTTGTTCGAAGAATACAGCCACCTTTTTATTAGAAATAAAAACCACTTGTACACCAAGGGTCCACTCTACCCTCAAAAAGCGCAAACCTTCAATTCTGTGCACAGCAAATGGGCGCATGAGATTATTTTGTCGAAAAACAGAGCTTCGTCTTTAGTAGGAATCAATTTTATCTTATGGAAAAGCGAGAAAATCACTATATGCGTACTATCTATATGAGAGAAGATCTATGCCGAACTCCGTCTTGGCTCGCTCGGCATTAGTGTTAAGTGGTCAAGTTTTGTTTGCTTGAATTCTTGTCATTTGAGGCAGTGTAGAGCAAGCCGAAGGCGAGTTCGGAATAATTTTCGCCCACACCAGCCCTAAAAAGTGGACACTTTTAATTCTCTGTATAGCAAATGGGCGCATGGGATTATTTTGTCGCAGAATGGTGGCATTTTTTGCTGTGGATCACTTTTATCCAAAGGAAAAACGTGATCCTGATCTCAAAATCAAAATAATTTTAACCTACGCTAACCTCAAAAAGGGCAAACTTTTAATTCTCCGAACAGCAAATGGGCGCAAATGATTATTTTGCCGCTCTGGCACTTTTTACTGTGAATCATTTTTATCTTAGAGAAAAATGTGATTCTCAAGTCAAAATCGCTTATATACCCATTGCTGAAAAGCGAGTTCGGCTTAATTTTGACCAACACCAACCCAAAACAAGCGGAAATGAGCAAATGGGCGCATAAGTGGGGTGAGCCGAATTCGTAGACACAGTGTTAGAATCATTTTTGCTATGAATTCGAACCTGAATGAATTGGATCTAATTAGCAAGGACCTATCAGTGAGATTCTCCTTACGTCAAAAATAATTAGCAGAAGTAAATCACGAACGTCACGGGCACTTTATGGACGAAGTTTAAAATGGTTGACATTACTTGGGCGTAGTTAATTATTTTCTTGTACAAATTCGATCCTCCCCATTAATACGAGTAAGGAGTTAAGCCGTTTCTGGACGGTTTCACCCTCATCTTACATGCTCGGACGTACAATTAATCACTCGCGGCCTTTATCCTTGTCCATCCCATTTAATAACCAATTCTCACTATCCAATTACTATCGCCGCATCCAGCGAAATTCATTTGTTCTCAATGATAAACGATCTCGCTCGCCTTTTTAATTTACGCGCACCCTTTTCTTCTCGTTTCAGGTAAAATACTAGAGAATCTCACTTTGGGGCCGCAGCCGACGCTCACGTCGCAGCCGCCGACGCCACCGAGCACGCCGCTATCGCCGAAAATCGGCGAGATACCAAAGTTTACCACGTGCGCCTCCGGTTTCCTACCCAACGTAACGATAACGCAATCATCTAGTCCGTCTGTAGTACCTCACATTATCTCAAGCCAAAACTCGGAGAAGGGCCCCCTCGACCTGGACGTGAAGAGGAAGAAGGCGCCCACCGGCCTGTTCACGAACGGAACGGGCCTCAATCTGGAGGAGAAGTTCAAGCAACGCCAATCGGGCGCCACCACGCCAACTCTCAGGGTAAGTTTCGGAGGTATTCCAGCGTGAAGCGCACGCAATTGTAATTACGTGTAACTGTTGTTAAAAAAATTAGTAAGTTCTTGTGAATTAGCACAATTTACATTGTAGATAATAATTGCGCAAAAAATTAGGTGTAAGATGAACTTGTCTCGAATTTATTTGAAATTTAAACATGTGAACTTGCCTCGTGAATACGAACTTAATTTATACTTTTCACACAAAATTTAAATTTCTTACCTTCCTCATTCTAATTTTAGATGACTGGTGTGTTTTTCTTGCTATTGTTTTAAATTTTCGTGCATAATTTAGGTTAAGCTAAAGGATTTTGTAAAACTACCTACTTTACGAGGTTATTGTACAACTAATCGTCACGGACCGACGATTTTTCACAGAACTCTCTTCCCTTTTCTTGTTTTTTTCCTGTTTAACAAATCTTTTCCTACTTTCCGCGGAATTAATTTAATTTATCCTACCAAATTGGGAAATTATCATTTAATCGTGTGTATTGTATAATTTATTTAATTGCGCTCGTTAACGTAGAATAGTATAATTCCTGAATTCATTTGAATCTTTAAATAAATATGTCGTGTTTTTCATTATCTTTACGCGATCCTCCACGTGTCATCCTACCGTCGATCTTGGGCGAAATTCAATCCAATTCACTTGCGCCCCAATTACGGGGACGCCCCGCTACGTTCGCTAATTAACAACAATCAATCATGTATACGGGCGAGTGTCGAGATAAGACGATTTTTACACTCGCGGACTAATTAACGAATCAAAATTCCGCTTCCGTTCGAATCTCGACGATTGTTTACTGTTTTTTTTTAATTATACAATGTCGTTCGCTAATTAACAACGGCAACAGTGTCCCGTAATTTTCCCATCCTTCGATTAATTATAAATTTTACTCGAACGACAATATTAAATTTCTTAAATTAATTTCCTTTAACAATTACAACCAGTCATATCTTCAATATTTTTTTTAATATTTGCTGGCTCCTAATTAGCGATATTTAATTGAAAATTAATAATTACAAGTTCGACTGTTTCTTAAGATAAGGTGTCAGATTAATCAATATTCGCTCTCTAATTGGTAACATTTTATAGATTCCCGCTTACTGATATTAAGTTCGTTGAATTGAACTTGTCTATATTACTAATCAGATACTAACAATGTTTCTAATTAAAGGAACTAATACCCTCAGATACCCTCGTAATTAGTGATTACTTAGTAACTTTACTAAAGTTTCAGTGACTCGCGAAATACATTGAATTTTAATCAGATCTATCGTAATTAGTCTTTAATTAGCAACATTTCTGAATTTCTGCTGTCATAGCTGACTATTACCACCAATTAGGTACTAAAAATGTATTTAATTAGTCTGCAAGATTGAGGAAACTAATTTAAAAGTTTGGTACCGATAACTGAAACCTAAAATTGCGACCTCTAATTATAATTAGCAAATTTTCTTAGATTTGCTTTTGGATGACTTGTCCATAATTAGCGGCCTTGATTGAAAATTATTAACTATAAAATCGACAGCTTCTTAGACAAGTAATAAATAATTGCCAATTTTTTTGTGAATCAATATATTTAATTCGTTAATTAGTTGATTAGTTTTTTTTTGCGTGTACTTCAACTGTTTAGCGAATTAAGCATTTAATTAAGTGTGATATTAGCTTCCAGTAGTGGAAGCAAATATTGAATTTAACTTTTATGATCACTAATTAAAATGGGCTAATTAGCAAATCTGCATTTGATCAACAAGTTCGGTTTTGTCGTTGAGGTTAATAGCCAATTTTCTTCTTTTTAGTTTTATGTTATCACTAATTAAATCCTAATTCCATTTTAATAATCTTAACATAATAATTAAGTGTCTAACCAATTAGGTTTAATAATAGATAATAATCACTACCACTTGTGGCCAGTATTGACTAATAATTATCTATTATTAAAGTCTGAGGCCGCAACTAATTTATAATTAGTATCCTCAAACATAAAAGCAGATGTAATTAATTATTAAAAATTATTATAAAGAAGAAAATTGGCACAATTCATTAATATAGACTGAACGATAAAAGGGAATTAAGTAGTAATTATTACCCCCACTTATTGATAGTGATGATATTTAAATTGAATTAAATCGAATTAAAATTTGCTAATTAGACAATTTCTAATTATGATTAGAGATTATTAAGATTAAATTAGCCATTATTAAAAGAAAATGACTTAATGAAATGTTTAATTCGCTCGGCATTTTAAGGTAATTAGAAGCTAGAACCGTCATCGAGATATCCAATTTACAGTTAGCGTAATTAGCAATTAATCCATAGGTCTTTCAGAGCGTAGTTATTACAGCAGTGGATTCGCTAATTACGCATCACAAGAATGTCTAAAACGGAAGTATTAACTTGAGCTAGAAGGTAGTAATTAATTAGATGGTAATTGGAAGCTAATGGCATAACCAGATGGAATTTAGAATTACTAATTGGTTCAAAAGTGTTTAACATAATTGACATCAGTAACAGGGAATTCCGAACCGAAAGGTTGCTAATTAAAGACTAATTACGACAGAAAATTAATTACTTTAACGCAGGAATTCAGTAATTATACAAAATCCATTCTGAACGTGTTGATAATAATAGTAATTACAAGTTCGATTGAAATTTCAAGATATTACAGACAAAAATAGAATTTTATTGTAACGAAAAACAAAATTACACAGTAATTACAAGCTATCAAGCGTTTATTTCGAGGTTTCTTTCACTAATTAGAATCTTAATTTCATCGTTATTCATTTTAATATAATTACTTACACCTGCTTTTATCTTTGGGGATGCCAATTGTAATTTAATTGTTTCCTTAGCCTGTAATAATAGATCATTATCACTACTACTGGTGGCCAGTGTTGCTTAATTACAGCAGAAATTAAGGGATAATTAATTACGATTGGGGTCTTATTATGGTGGAGCAATTTTCTTATAAATGAAAGTTATTAACTCAAGACACAACAATCTTTTCGGTAATGAATGGCAACGTTTGGAATTAATTTTCCATAATCGCCCAATTACTACATTTAGAGTAATTAACTAGCAGAGACCGTTGTAATTAGAAACCTTACTGAATTCCCAGTTACTAACGTCATAGGTAAATACACTGAACTGTATTGCTTTTAATCAGCTAATTTGTCCTACGTTAAAATGTTGTAATTAGAACCTAAAATTGCGATTTAGCGGCTTATAACTGAAAATTAATTGTAACCAATTGGAGTGCTTCTTGAGATAAGTGATAAATAAGGTACAAGATTTATTACTAATTGGTTTCTTATCTTTTGGTAATGTTTTCGTGAATTAATATAGTGAAGTGAATACTGTCGTAATTAGTAATTAGCAACCTTTCTGCTGATGCCATTAGCTTCCAACTACCATCTAATTAATAACTGCCTTCCAGCTCAAGTTAATACTTACGGATTAAGACTTTATTGTGATGAGTAATTACTCATTAGCAAATCCACTTTTGTATTAACTACGCTCTGAACGACCTATTGATTAATTACTAATTATGGTAATTGTAAATTGGGTATCTCGATGACGTCATTAGCTTCTAATTAGCTTAGCGAATTAACCATATCATTAGGTGTGCCATTAGCTTCTAATGGAAGAGAAATCACTAATCAGAATTGGAAATTAATTAGCGATTCTTAATTTGATTTAATTTGAATATCTCCACTATTTAATAAGAGGGGGGTAATCATGACTACTTGCATTCGCTTTTATGGTTGACTATATATTAATTAATTATGCCGAATACTTTGGGGATGCTAATTATAAATTATGTCCTTAACCTTTAATAATAGATAATTATCACCACCACTGTTGGCCAATATTGACTAATTACAATCGAAATTAAGGGTATAATTAATTAAGTTTTGTGTCTTATGGTGGATCAATTTTCTTATAAGTATATGATTATTAGTCATTAACACACAAGAATCTTTCGATAGTAAATGGTAACCTTTTTGATTGGTTTGGTTAATGTGAGTTAATTAGCAACTCTTGGCGATCACTGTCTAGACTAGTATCGATCCTATGACTGCAATTAACTGACAACGCGTTGTGCGCCAATTTTGAGATGTGTAAAATTACTCGAAATTAATCCTTGATAGCTTCTAATTAGTCTGCAATTCAATAACTCTTGAATCCTTAAAAATTTATATTTTTTGTGCTTCATTTGTAAAATTAATCAGTAGTTACCTAAAATTTCAACGGATTGTTAATTACTTGTAATTACCAACACTTTCGGAATGAATTGTCCCTGCTCCGTTGCATTTTGAAATGATCCATCTCATTTCATAATTAATTATTAATTCGCGATCTCTAATTAGCCACTTTTAAATTACCTAAGTTGTCTTTGCATAAACTCTGAACGAGTTTCTCTGTCAGCGCTCGATATTTGCGGCTACGGATTAATATTCGCGAACAGTCCTTATCAATTTAGTCCCCTTATTGTATCTAAATTAGTAAGCAATCATCCCGTCAATCATAATCAGCCTGAGGTACGATACAACTTAAATCATTCGCAGAAAATCGATGTCGAATTTGGGTACTTCTCGAAGGTCTAGGTTTATCAAATCGGAGAGAAATTGGATTAATTTAAAATTACTATTTAAGTACTCACAATTAGCTATTTAATTATTACGATTAGCGAAGTCAACAGGATAAAATTCCGTGTTATAGTTACTTTGCAATTAACCATTTTAATTGTCTAAGCTATTAATTAATTAATTTTATTGTATAATTGATTATCAATTAGAGTTCTTAATTAGAGTGACTATAGCTGGGAGGTAATCAATTAATTAAAATGAGTACAATTGACGCCAAAATTAGTACCCACCTCCAAGAAATTGTTTAATTTATATTAATTAGCCAATTCGAACTTAGGGATCGAAATCATAGCTCGTGGCAAATTAGTAATTTTTGAAAATTACGGCACTTTGTATAATTAACGCCTAATTAATATCTTTAATTAGTTGTAATATTTATGATTTAATTTGAAATGTTGTATGTCAATATTTTCAATGTTCAATTAGAAATTTCGATTACTTGTGGTGATATAATTAATTATAAGTAATTGATGACAATGGATGATATGTCTTTAATTGTTTAAAGGCTCTCCGTGAACGTCGATGCGTAATTAGTTAGTGGTTGATAATTTTTGATACCATTGATTTGTGTGTAATTGTTAATTCCAATTAAATTTACCATTACAATTAATTAGTTATATTTCATCAGGGAACTTAGACTTCCTCACACATTTGTAATTTAATGTAAATTGTGCAATTACAATCGGATGTACCATTGTAGCTTGATTCAGACGCCGGATTTGTGGCAATAATTAGCTAATTAGATAATTAGCGCGAAGTATTAATAGAACTGCTCCACTTTTTGGGATAATTACAGTCAAAGTTTACTTATTCTTAATTACAGTCGCCTGTGCAATTAAAGTTTTGTGCGAGGAAACGCGTGCGTGGCCGTCGTTATTTTTAACCTCATCTTGTCTAATTCGAGAGACTTTTTTGTCGCCGCTATTTATATACAAAAAGCGAATTAAGAGTCATATTTGGTGTACGTATGTAGATTGGATTTTTCTTTTGCGTTTTTCGACATGCGAGACCGCCATTAGGTCTCTCTTCCGGGGGTGCTTTTAGGCCTACGGCTTTGTTTATCCATTACGACGCCTTTTGATCTCGAAACGGCTCGAAGGACCAATTTCACTTGTTACTTTTTATTTTTAGATAAGTTTCCCGCCGAACCTGATGCATCACGCTTACGGGGGCGGCATGAAAAGCGAAGACGACAGTCCGCCACCTGTGGATGCGAACCCCCTCAATGGTGAGTTCACAAAAGCTTCTTGTTTAAAACCGTTTGACGTCACGCGCGCTTTTTAAGGCTATCATTTGCATTTAAGTGCGTAAACTTCAAATAGTAATATATGGATAAAAATAGACGGGGGGGCTTTTCGCCGAAACTCGCCCGTTACCATCGGACATCCTTATTTTGTAAACGACCAAACGCGGCAGAACAGACAAGGCACTTAAGTGTCGTAAAGATAAAATAAGTATAAAATGGTGTTAATAGAACATCGCATTCAACAATATACAAATTGCTTTAAATTGGAAGCGACAGATTTAATAAAGTGAAGTGGAAAAATATTTAGTAATTTAGTATTTCAATTTGTATTATTTTTGTACGTGATTCTACTCCTCTCTCTCTTCCTGCTAGAGTAATTTCAAACCCGCTTACTTGTGAATAAAATTAATAATTATAATAAAATGGAACTCCCGGGGTAATTTAATTTACGCTTAAAAATGAGAGTACGCGAGGGGGCGCGGCGCGCGCACGCCCCCCCTCTCTCCACCCCCGACGTGCGATTTCGCAAAATCGTAAATGTCAAACATCAATAAAACGAGCATTAAATTTGCCGGAATGGAAACGTGTAAGTTTATATCGCCCGTTGTTTCTTCTTTTTTTTTTAATGGTGCATACATCTTATTTACAATAATAAATTTATTGTTCATTGTGTTTTTAATAAAATAACCTACGTGGTGTTGCATTACTTTTGCATTTAATAGCGGACACGCATCGAACGCGGCAGTCGTGAATGATTCGAGAAACTTGGAGAAATTTAAATTTCCCGCTCAACGAGAAACCCACTTTTAAAACGAGATGTCCCAATTACGTGAAAGAAAAAAGCGACTTGTGTTCAAAAAAAGCACGATTATGTAGTTTTGAATATAAAAATTCGAGAATATACGGACAAGGTAATACACAGGGTGTTCCTAAATATGATGTAAATACGAAAGGGACTAATCCTTTGGCTTATTTTATGCCTAAAAGTTCATATGAAAATAGATTCGCGATCGCTTCGGTACCGATCTACAGGGTGTTATAATTCTACAGCACCCTTTACAACCGCTATACCCAGTAAAAAAATAGAGCTGAGTGAGAGAACATTTTCTTAAATCAATACCGAACTGAAGCCATTACAATGACCTTTTTCGTCATTCTACCTCTTATTCTTCTTTGCTGTCTTTTGCTTCGCCATTTTCTACATAATCTTCATCTCATTGGTTTTTTTATTTCTCTTCTTTTTCATATAGTTCCTTGTCTTTTTCTATTGCTCCTTTCCTATTCGCTTTCTTCTTGATGTACTCTTTCCTCTTATGCGTCCTGTCCTTAGCCTTATCCTGAAATTTTTTTCATGTTTTGCCTTTTTTAGTGTTTGTATTGCAGTTTTCTCGGTCTTCTTTGTATTTTCCTTTGAATTCTTTTCCGTCTTCTTTGGCTTTATCCTTATTGCCTTTTTTATTTTCTTCTACGTTCTCATCTTTGCCTTCATCGTCTTCATTTCTTCTCTTTTGTCTTAATTTTTGGGCTCTTCTTCTTTGTTCCCTCTTTTTTTAAAAACACCTTTTTGGATCATTTTCAGATTTTAAATCTTCAAGAGTGTTTATATATCCAGATTTCAGGGTCTTTTGAACGTGTTTAAGAGCTGTTAAGAGTCATCAACAGTTTCTAAAGGTTCCCAAAAATCTTATAAGAGATTTGAAAGTCTTTGTGAGTCTCCATAGTTTTTGAAGGTTAAAGAAGCTTTAAAAACCCTTAATATGTTTCAGTATTTAAGACCTTTTGTGATCCCTCATTTCTTTAGTCTGTAAATGCTGTTATGGATTTCTTTAAGAAGCAAGTCTTTAGTCATTGGGATCTTTGAAAGGTTTGGCGAGTTTAAAGAGCATTTTTAAATCTTTGACAGTGTTTAATGATCTTTAACAGTCTTCGATCTCCGAGAGGTTTTCCAAAGTTCCTCTCGCCAGTGACATTATTGTGAAATTTTCGCATGCGCCCATTTTCTGCGCCCAAAGTCTTCATTTTTGTTATCGTCTGTTTCAAATTTATCGACTCGCTCGGTATTGATGTATAAATTATGTTGAGTCCACAAACATATTTCAGATTTCAAGCGCTTCGATTCTGGGATAAAATAATCACTTGCGCCCATTTGCTGTTCAAAGAATTAAAAATTTGCTCTTTTTGAGGTTAGTGTAGGCTAAAATTATTTTGGTTTTGACTTCAGAATCACATTTTTCTTTGAGATAAAAATGATTCGTAGCAAAAAATGCCTCCATTCTGCACCAAAATAATCCCATGCGCCCATTTGCTATACATAGAATTACAAGTTTCCACTTTTTAGGAATGGTATGGGCCAAAATTACGCGAAACTCGCCTTCGGCTCGCTTGGCACTTCTGTACAAATTATTCTCCACTCCACATCAGAGTAAAAGTGTCTTGATTCTTCCGACATCACATGCGCCCATTTGGTGCACTGACCTTTGGTAGTGGCATTTCTGTACAAATTATGTTGAATACACAAACACAATTCAGAGGCAAAATGCCTTGATTTTTCGACAAAATCATCATCTGCGCCCATTTGCCGCGCCAACATTATGATAAGTACTGACTGTTATGAAAACAGAAATTAGTGTCCTTTTCTGTCATTGTCCGGGTCAGTTTCGCCCAAATTTGTGCGGGACTCGCCTTCGGTTCGCTCGGCATTAATGTACAAATTTATTTTGACGCCACAAACACAGTTCTGAGTAAAAAGTGCCTTAATTTTTCGACAAAATCATCACATGCGCCCATTTGCTGCGCCAAAAAATTATAATTAGTACCGACTGTTATGAAAACAGGAATTGGTGTCATTTTTTGGTTCAGTTTCGCCAAAATTTGTGCCGGACTCGCTTTCGGCTCGCTCGGTATTAATGAACAAAATTTATTTTGACGCCAAAAACACAGTTCTGAGTAAAAAGTGCCTTAATTTTTCGACAAAATCATCACATGCGGCCATTTGCTGCGCCCAAAAATTATAATTAGTACCGACTGTTATGAAAACAGGAATTGGTGTCATTTTTTGTCATTGTTTGGTTCAGTTTCGCCAAAATTTGTGCCGGACTCGCTTTCGGCTCGCTCGGCATTAATGTACAAATTTATTTTGACGCCACAAACACAGTTCTGAGTAAAAAGTGCCTTAATTTTTCGACAAAATCATCACATGCGCCCATTTGCTGCGCCAAAAAATTATAATTAGTACCGACTGTTATGAAAACAGGAATTGGTGTCATTTTTTGGTTCAGTTTCGCCAAAATTTGTGCCGGACTCGCTTTCGGCTCGCTCGGTATTAATGAACAAAATTTATTTTGACGCCAAAAACACAGTTCTGAGTAAAAAGTGCCTTAATTTTTCGACAAAATCATCACATGCGCCCATTTGCTGCGCCAAAAAATTATAATTAGTACCGACTGTTATGAAAACAGGAATTGGTGTCATTTTTTGTCATTGTTTGGTTCAGTTTCGCCAAAATTTGTGCCGGACTCGCTTTCGGCTCGCTCGGCATTAATGTACAAATTTATTTTGACGCCACAAACACAGTTCTGAGTAAAAAGTGCCTTAATTTTTCGACAAAATCATCACATGCGCCCATTTGCTGCGCCAAAAAATTATAATTAGTACCGACTGTTATGAAAACAGGAATTGGTGTCATTTTTTGGTTCAGTTTCGCCAAAATTTGTGCCGGACTCGCTTTCGGCTCGCTCGGTATTAATGAACAAAATTTATTTTGACGCCAAAAACACAGTTCTGAGTAAAAAGTGCCTTAATTTTTCGACAAAATCATCACATGCGGCCATTTGCTGCGCCCAAAAATTATAATTAGTACCGACTGTTATGAAAACAGGAATTGGTGTCATTTTTTGTCATTGTTTGGTTCAGTTTCGCCAAAATTTGTGCCGGACTCGCTTTCGGCTCGCTCGGTATTAATGAACAAATTTATTTTGACGCCAAAACACAGTTCTGAGTAAAAAGTGCCTTAATTTTTCGACAAAATCATCACATGCGCCCATTTGCTGCGCCAAAAAATTATAATTAGTACCGACTGTTATGAAAACAGGAATTGGTGTCATTTTTTGGTTCAGTTTCGCCAAAATTTGTGCCGGACTCGCTTTCGGCTCGCTCGGTATTAATGAACAAATTTATTTTGACGCCAAAAACACAGTTCTGAGTAAAAAGTGCGTGCCAAATCCTTAAGAAGCCTTTATCTCAAGGCTTCTTAAAGGGTCTCCTTTTAAAAACACCTAAAGACTGAGACTATTAAAGGCTCACTTAAAGTTTGAATGCCTACTAAAGGTCGTAAAAGTCTCTTAGAGACCTTTAAAGAGTAAGAAACTAAATTTTGTAGTTCTTAAGGTTTTTAAACACTTTTTAAGCAAACGGGGTCTTCTAAAGAGACTCTTAAAATCTCCCTTCGGGTTTCGAGCTAGAGCCTTGGTTTCTGATGTCCAGTTTCGGATTTTGGGTACGAGCCTTAAAGCTTAAATTCAGGTTGTATGCTTTTGAGGTTTGGAAGTTGAAGCTACACGTTCAAGGTTCATCTTTAAGTTTGAGGTTTGCAATGAATGAAACTTGATGCCGTGGGTTTAAGAACCTGTGACTGTAGAGCATGAAACCTGAAATCAAAAAGGTTCAGTGCGACTTGCAGTTGCGAGTTTCAGGTCTCAAATTTGAGGTTTGTAGCTGAAGTTTTAATTTCAGTTTCTGTGGGTCTTTGAAGCTTTAAAGAAGTTTGAGGCTTGAAGCTAAACTTCAAATTTATATCTGAAAACTGAAAACCCAGTGTAAACTGCAAATTTGAAATGGACCCGAGATCTTTTATTGTTAACATTGCCGAAGGTGAGTTCGGCATAATCCAATATACCTCACCAATTTCCAATTTTCATCAGAAGCAAAGAACAAAACTAAATGTTCGAGCATTTTTCTTTTTGGGTGTCGAAGTGGGCCATCCA